AGTAAGGGTGAAAGAGATTGGTTCGATTTTGTTTTTTATAAAAACAATAAATAAGAAAATGGATTCAGCAAAATGAGTAATTTTATTGATCGTTTTTGTGTGCCTCGTTAAAAACCCTCTCAGTCAAGGACTGAGGCGGGAAAAGAGTGCACAATTTTGTTCATACAGAAAGGAGAAATAGAACCTAATGAACTATGGTGGGGGGGACCCCCCTTGCTCCGGATGAGGAGATCTTCAGACTCTCGGCATAACACTGTCGAGATGTCTTCTGATTTGCCTTGACGGAGATGATCTTGCCGTCATTCCCTAGGAACTTCATGGTGAGGTGTGGAGTGGACACCACCGCTCCGAGCTGATTCAAGGTTGGCCTCCCGATGATGATGTTATAGAAGGTTTTGGCCTCCACGAGAAGGTATATAACCATGATTCTCCTAGTATCCGGGGGTACCCCGAACGTTGTCAGTAGGTCTATGTACCCGCGAGTGTGAACTCGCTCTCCTGCGAAGCCGACTAAGGGCTTCGTGTGCTGCTAGATGAGGGAATGGGGGACGTCTAGCCTAAGGAACGTTGGCCAGTACAGGACGTCGGCCGGACTTCCTTGGTCAATGAGCCTCTTCTGTACCTCCTAGTTGGCGACCTCCACCATGATAACCATGGGATCATCTTGGTTAGGGCTGACACCCGCGTAGTCCTCGTCAAAGAAGGAGATCGGAGGTGAGCTTTGGTGCGAGGCCGAGGTGGTAGAGTGGATGCAGTTGACATTCCGCAGGTGTCTTTTTCGGGCCGAGCTGCTAGCGCCTCCCCCAGCGAAACCACCTGCAGTTGTGTTAATCACTCCCCGTAAGGGGGCTGTCCCTGTCTCCTGGCTTACCTCGGCCTACACTGCACCGCCGGCATTTTGTTGGGAGCTAGAGGGTTGGTCCGTGCGAGTTCCCGAGCCTCGCCCTCTGTCACGCCCCCGACCACCATAGCCTCATCGGTGACCCTGCTGTCGCTAGATGTACTGGCCGAGGTGACCTGCCTGGATGAGCTCTTCGATGCGGTCCTAGAGCGTGCGACACTCCTCTGTGGTGTGACCGTGGTTCCTGTGGTACCGGGAGTGCTTGGACTTGTCGGCACTGTTGGGAGTGTGACCTGGTGGTGGAAGGGCGAGTAAGTTTTTGTTGCTGGCTTCTTCCAGGATGTGGACTCTGGGTGCGTTCAGGGGAGTGTAGAAGTCGTATCTCCCCCCTTTGTTTGCCTTAGCCGACCTCTTGAACTGACTGTCATTGTTGACTTTGACCTTGTTGTTGTGCCCCTGCTCTGGCTTTGCTGGTCCTTTTCCGCGAACCTGGTCACGGAAGGCGGAGTGTTCCTCCATCTGGATGTAACCTGCAGCGCGGGCGCGGGCGCGGAGCTCGTCCATGTCGCGGGGGACCCACAACACAGGCTATCGACAAATAGTCCGGGTTTGAGTGTCATGAGCATGGCATGTAGGGCGACCTCGGGATTCAGGTTTCTGATCTTGATCGAGGTGGCAGCGAACCGTTTCATGAATGCCCGGAGTGGTTCTTCGTCGTTTTTCCTGAGACTGGCCAAGGCGGCTGAAGTGACATGATGAGGTCAGCTCGTCGCATATTGCACGGTGAATCTCCTGACTAGGGTGCCGAAGCTGTCGATGGACTCGGGGTGTAGTTGGGTGTACTAGTTGAGCGCGGCTCCCTTGAGTGAGGTCGGAAACACCCTACACAAAATAGCATCATTGTCGATGTAGAGATATACCTGTGTTGTGTACAGGTCGATGTGCTCATCCGGGTCCGTCGTGCCATCATAGCGGTCGAGGTGGAGAGGCTTCCCCCCTTGAGCGAGTGGTGTCTCCATAATGCCATCCACAAAAGGGTGGCGGCGGAAGGTTTCCTAATCCCCCGCGGCATGAGTGGGGGCTTCCTGATTTCATGGGCTGACTTGTGCGTCGGTGCGTGAGACCGATGCGTTGCAGGTCGTTGAGTTGGTGTCTTGGTTGCCGTCTGAGGTTGAGAGACTGAGTGCTCCTCTTCCTCATTGTGGTTGCCCGTATGAGGAGGATGATCGGAGTGGTGTCGAGGGAGTTGAGTGCGGATTCGCTCGTTCTCAGCGCGTAGCGCCGCCAGGTCAGCTTCGTTAGTGGCACGCATTGCCGCTAGGTCAGTGGCGTGCTTGGCACACATTTTTTGTGGGTGGGCGGCTTGTTGCTGCCGCATCTGTTCGACCTGATCGATCAGTCTCCTCAACGCTGCTTCATTATCCATGATAGTTGAGTGGTTTGCATCGTCTGTCGTGCGTCTACTATGGCTTCTGGTGAAAACCATAGGCGTGGCCGATAAGAGCTGTCTTGATCGGCCCCACGGTGGGCACCAAATGTTCTTACCGGAAATCTGTTGTAGAGCTGATCTGCAAAGTAAGATTGGTGAGCCTCCTTCACTGGTACGCTGGTGCTCCAAGATGGGGGTGGTACCTGCAAAAGAGACTCCGATGCTATAGTTAGTGTTTGTGGCAGTATGAGTCTCGTATATGTAATGCACGTACGCTAGTGTGAATTAGGGATGCTTTGGGCCTTGGGCCCGAGATAAGATACGATAAGATTAGATAGCAGATCTCGTCGGGAGCGAGATCTCTTAAGATCAGTTGTGATCTGCTCAAATGCCGAGCTAACGTCGCGTAGTGTGTGCTCGAGATCATCTTGTGCTGTGATGCCGAGCTCCCGAGCTCGGAGCTCGGCTTCGCAACACAGACAGTACAGTAATTAATTTTGATTTCTATTTTTACATGAACCTTTATACCTCCATAACTATTTTTTGTAACTGCCTAAAATCACCTTCTCTTATAAGAATATCAGTGGAACAAGGTTATTTATATTTTCACTCGATTCAAAATGTTGATAAGGTCAACTCCTTTAACTCGAATTCGATCTGATCAAGAGTTAATAACATTTAAAATAAAACTTAGTCAATTTAACTTATTATCATAATATATTAATCATTTTTCATGTTATGCCACAACATACTAATCTAAACATTAGATATGTTAAATTGTAGGATTAAATAAATTTATACCAACTATTAAACTATACTTTTTTTTATATATATCTTAAGATAAATGATATTAATTAACATAAGTATTATATCATATTAGTTAAAATAACATTTATAAAAGGTAAGAAGTTATATTATTAATACATATTTATTTTAAAAAATATTTTTTGAAACAAATATATAATATTAAACCAAAGTGGAATAAAGACTAATTTCTTAAACTTGAACTCATTTAAAAGTTCTTTTTGAATATCAAGCCAAGTTAGGGATGAGATGAGTTATTAACCAACTATTCTATCATGTGAATGTCTTGTGTTTTAGTTTACACAATTTTTTTTTCATTTTACTCTATAATAAAACTATTTGTAAATAAGGTTAAAATACTTTTTCTTTATTTATATAATTTTATTTACTTTAATTTTTAAGAACATTTATTTATTGAACTAACATCATAATATTAAAAAAAAATAACAAATCTCTAAAATAAATACAATATTTTAATTTTAAACAATATTTTTAGACAAAAAAATATATTTCTATATCCAAATAATATTTTATAAATTAAATATTAAAAATTTGAATTATTTTTTCAACAATTTTTACAAAAAAAAATCTAACTACATAAAATATCAAATTCTCTTTATTTCTAATATAATATCATTCTATTAGATAATTACATTTTTTATTTTATTTTTATTTTCCCCCTTATTTTCTATCAAATAATTTTTACTTATTTTCTTGTATTCTTGACGCACTCCCGCCAGAGCATTATTGGAAGTAGCTTCACCATTGTTTGTTCAACCGATTTCGTAGAGATCAATCGAATCGATCCCGTTACTTCACTCGTAGAATTCGAACCCATCATCTTACCATCCTAGACAAATCATCACTAAACTGGATAAACTTCGTTAGATATGTACTAAAATTGAGACTTAATTATGAAAAAAGTACTCTATTTTATTATGTAACTCATTAATATATTTAGGAGATATTCTCTGGGAATGAAAAGAAAATATTAATAGGAGAAATAAAAAAGAAAAAAAAAACAAAATGAGAAACATACAGAAAATTCTCCTGTTCTCTAATTTTGTCGTTTGCTACGCAATAGTGCAATTCATCCAAATCAAAATATTTACCAAGAATTTACTGTTCAGTTTCTCCGGAAAAACAATTTGCGTGTCTAAAGCAAGAATATATATGACTAAAATTAAATGGTTACCTCATTTCAAGTTTCAATCTTTGTATAAAAAAAAAAATCAAGTTTCATTCTAAAGGATGATAACGAACCATATGGACAGCGACGTGCCAATGACTTAATGCTGCTCTAGACTAAGGGATAAAGCAACAACACTCAACATACCTTTCAAAGTGAACATTTTATTATAGGAAAATGTTTCCCTCGTGAAATTTGTTGGGACATTTTCCATTTGTGGATTACTACATAGAGATAGCAAGATGCAAAATTCATTAATAAAAAAAATTAATGTAAATATCACTTTAAAATATTGTTTTACAATGTCATCATAGCAAAAATAATATTATTGAGATTAAAATGATAAAAAAATAATATGTATAGTGATTAAAATAAGATATTATAAATTATAAGAACTGAAAAGAAAAATAAATGAAACTATAGGATTTAAAAAGAATAAATGAAACTAAAAAATAAAAAATGCTTTAATAAAAAAATAGCAAGTAAAAAATATAATGTCAAAATGATCTTTATTATATCATTACAACACAAACGAGATTAATAAAAATAAACAAAAGATACTTAAAGAGAAAATATATATATAAATTAAAAAAATATATTTTAAGCTGTAAAAAGTGAGAGAAAATAAATAAAACTACATGATGTGATTTTAGAGAACATTAATAGGAAATAGGAATGAATTAAAAGGGTTGGAGACTTGGAGCAGTTGGGCTTAGGAGTGTAAGAATCTAACAATTTTGAATTTGTAGGATGATAAAGTTAAATAGAGTAAGGTCCAATCGCAAATCTATTAAGTACGCATAACACTTGAATATAGAATGTTGCTTCGGCGATGGTCGCCGTCGAATCTCATTCCTCCCTCAACCCTGATTCCGCAGCGCCTCCTAAGCTCCAACCGAAACGACGACGTTCACAAAGTTTTCAGCATAATCAGCAGCAGCGCCACTGCGGAAGAATTAGAAGAATCCCTCAAATCAAGCGGCGTTTTCCTCTCCAACGAATTAATCGACCAAGTCCTCAAAAGGGTTCGCTTCAGCCACGCCAACCCCTCCCAAACCCTAGAATTTTTCCGTTACACCGGACGCAGAAAAGGTTTCTACCACACCGCCTTCTCCCTCGACACCATGCTCTACGTCCTCGGCCGAAGCCGCATGTTCTCGCACGTGTGGGACCTCTTAAGCGAAGCGCGTCGGAAAGACCAATCGCTCATAACCACGCGCACCCTCATGGTCGTCTTGGGTAGAGTCGCCAAAGTTTGTTCCGTTAGACAAACTGTGGACTCGTTTAGAAGGTTCAGGAAGCTTGTCTCTGAGTTTGACACTAACTGTTTCAATGCTTTGTTGAGAACTTTGTGCCAGGAGAAGAGCATGACGGATGCTAGAAATGTTTATCATTGTTTGAAGCACGGGTTTCGCCCCAATTTGCAAACTTTCAACATTCTTCTTTCCGGCTGGAAGACCCCCGAGGACGCTGAGGGGTTCTTCATGGAGATGAGGGACATGGGGGTGACGCCTGATGTTGTTACGTATAATAGTTTGGTCGATGTTTATTGCAAGGGGAGGGAAATTGAGAAGGCTTATAAGGTGCTTGATGAAATGCGTGACCGGGATTTGAAGCCTGATGTGATAACGTACACTTGTATTATTGGTGGGTTGGGGTTGATTGGTCAGCCTGATAAGGCTAGGGGTGTTTTGAAGGAGATGAAGGAGTATGGGTGTTACCCTGATGTTGCGGCCTACAATGCTGCCATTCGGAACTTCTGCATTGCGAAGAGGCTTGGTGATGCTTATGGTTTGGTGGATGAGATGGTCATAAAGGGTTTGAGTCCAAATGCGACTACTTACAATTTGTTCTTTAGGGTGTTTTACTGGTCCAATGATTTGCAGAGCTCTTGGAGCTTGTACGAGAGGATGATGGTTGAGGGGTGTCTTCCGAACACGCAATCTTGTATGTTCTTGATAAGGTTGTTTAGGAGGCACGAGAAGGTGGAGATGGCGCTGCGGTTGTGGGGTGACATGGTGGGGAAGGGTTTTGGGTCGTATACTTTGGTTTCTGATGTGCTGTTTGACTTGCTTTGTGATATGGGGAAGTTGGGGGAAGCAGAGAAGTGTTTCTTGGAGATGATTGAGAAGGGGCAGAAGCCGAGTAATGTGTCGTTTAGGAGAATCAAGGTGCTCATGGAACTGGCAAACAGACATGAGGCCCTTCAGAGTTTGACGCAGAAAATGGCCGTGTTTGGGCGACCACTCCAAGTTCATCCAAGTACGGAGAGCCCAACTGAAACACCAGGTTCTCTATCTGCTCATAGTTACAACTGATGATGGCAAAATGAAAGGAAGCCAGGGGTCTTAAAGCTGTGGCAGAAGTTGTAGCAGACATGACCCTTAGACCAGTTCTGCCTTTTAGAATAATTTGTGGAATGTGTGCAAAAATTCAAGAAAAATAGCTCAGATAAGAGGTATTTAGGTGAGCCGGTATAGCAAAAGATTGAGCATTCTAAATAATGGGAAGTTACTGGCTCCGCTGAGACTAATCAGCATCAGCAGTTTGCTTAAGTCACTATCTATACTTCCGGGAATACAATGCTCACAGGTTGATAAACATTTTGTGAAATAGAACTGTTTGGAAGTGGTAAGCTTGCATGTTACTGTCATTCCATTGGAAATCTGTTTCTCTTCAAGCATACAATCATGTTCGTCAGGACTAGAACTAGAAGGTCAAGCATACAATCATAGTATTGCGTATTGACCTTTTGACATTGGTTTTCCTTTCAAAACGTTTTAGAAGGTTTTCATAATGTTCGAATTCGATAGCTTTTTATGATCAACTTTCTCACCTGGAAATTTCAAGGTTTGGAACCTTTCTTGTGGACCAATATGTGTAAATAGTGTGGTCACTTGTCATGGACCATCTCATACCAAGTACCTACATAAAAATTCCAGTGATACTTGTCCTTTTTGTCGAAACCCTCCTGTGTACCTGGCTGTTTAAATTATGTCTCTCCAAGTCCAGATCGAGTCTTTCTATTGTTCCCTAACTGAACACAGTGAAATGAATCAAAGGATAGTATATCCACTGCCAACTACTTTGAGGTATCTTGAAGATGGATGAGGTGATCAAGAGCTCGCAACTCAGTTGCCATCTGATACTATTGATTTCTTGGTGCTCATCCCTAGTATATTTGGAATAGGTTGTCAAAAATTCCCCAAGCCAACCCTGATTGTACATTGGTTCATTATTTCAATTGATTAAATCTTAGCTCATTTTGTAAAATTAAATTTTCAAATGTTCCATTCATCAAATGGCTTAATAATAATAATAATAATTTAGTGTAATGTGGATAATGTATTAGAACTAGTATTTTATCAATAAATTTCATATCATACAACAAAATTATAATAAATATGTATTTTTGAATGTATGTATTATGTTTTAAATAATTTATACTATGATATAATACTATTTTTAATCATGTAAAATCAAATCCTATGTATTATTTCTAATTATTGATAATTTTAATATATATATATATATATTGAAATTTTATTTAAAAATAAAAATAAAAATGATAAGTGCAGATAAAAACGTTCTTATATAGAAGATTTGATTTTGCATAATTTAGTTCTGAAAATAAGCGCACACCACCGTCCATAAACGGGTATCGGAATGAAAGTGACAAATCAAAGAGTGAGTAAACAATGCTATTCGGTTATGCATGTAAATAATTTCAAATTATTCTTCAGTAACACCACTGTATCGTCGTAAGAATAAGAATCTCAGAAATATTATGTTTCGTACACATAATACGAGGCTTAATATAATTCAATTGACTTCACAAATCAAAGGGTAAACAATGCTATTAGGTTATACATGGAAAAAAATTTCAAATTATTCTTCAGTAACAGGCCACTGTTCTTTTTTTCAAGAAAAATAATACATGCTCGAGCAATGAAAATCTAAGTAGGGCAAGAAAACCAGAAACTGGACATCATAACAGCCGAAGTAAACTCAACTTCCTTGCATCCTTAACTAATAAATCTCTATGCCTGCAGATCATTCAAGAAAGAAAAAAGTATCAGTTACCACTCTGAAGATGGAAGTAAAATTGCCCAGTAAGCAAATCATCCACTCTTTCGGCATTAACCTTGTTTGCAATGTTGTTTGAGAGCCAGTCAAGTCCTTCATAGAGCCCTTCACCAGATGTGGCACATGTGCTCTGGATATACCTGCATGTGCAGAGCATGTAGGTGAGATTGAGTGGCGAAAGCAGCAAGATATGTATGGTGAGGAGAGGAATGTTGTCAACAATATTCTAGTTTACCAGTGACGCTGACGGAGGGAATGAAGACCAAGCTTATCAGTTATCTCCGCAGCATTCATAGCATTTGGAAGATCTTGCTTGTTCGCAAAAACTAGAAGCACAGCATCTCTCAACTCATCCTGCCAAAGATTATCCAATAACATCCAGAATTAAGCTGAGAAATCAAATAATATGGAATTAACTACCTTCCATATTCACTCATTTAGATCTGTGTTATTACCTCATTCAACATTCTATGCAGCTCATCTCTAGCCTCAACAACTCGGTCTCTGTCATTGCTATCAACCACAAAAATAAGTCCTTGTGTATTTTGGAAGTAATGTCTCCACAAAGGACGGATCTACAGGGAAAAACATATCAATGGTGACTACCATATTGCGAAATGATATTTTCAAAATAATTCAGTGTGTATTAATAACAAGTAGTCAAAGGCAAGAAAATTTGAGCTAATGGCCATAACATACACAAATTCGGTAAAGTTATACATACTGGTCGGATCTTAAAATAAAGAAATCGACAAAAGAAAGGACTATATTACCAATGCCATTTGGTTTATGACAAGATAACCGGCATCGCATTGCTATAAACAATTAAACACTAAAATTTGTACAAACATCATTGCACAATGAAGCACATGCACTCCCCTAACAACAAACATATTTTGAATCCCATCCTTATCTTACTGGGGAGGAGTACATCTGTCATCGCATCCAATGGAGATTCATTGATTCATCACCAAGATTTACGGGTCACAACTCAAATTTGGAAGGTAAACATAACACATTCATAGTAATTCAAGCATAGTTTCAGCCAATTACCATGTTATAAAATCAACAAAAGCATTGCAGACAGTTTGCTAAACCATCCTAACCATAAGTACTATAATGTCAGTAGTTAGACAGGAAGAAGCAGGGGAAAAATCAATACCTTGTCCTGACCTCCAACATCCCAGACAGTGAAGCTGATGTTCTTATATTCCACAGTTTCCACATTAAACCCTGCGCCAAGTGATATATTAGTAGAATCACACGTCATAAGTACTATAATGTCAGTGACAAACTATCATTATCATGCTAACAATGATACTGGAGACACTGCATTCAGGCTATTCTCATCTAGTACCTGAAAAGTTGATAGTTTGTCTGAATAGTTCATGCAACAATAACAACAAATGAACGGAAATGGGTAGGAAAGGCCAAAGCAATAATTGATCCTACATTCATTAGAATTAATTCCCCCCTCAATCGACATCGTTTTATTGAGAATGGATAAGTTAACTCCCCCCATCAATTGAATTAGAAAGAAATGTCCGCTCAATTTCCTATCACATTTCATGAATCAATACAAAGCAGTTGGCATTTAAGAAACTAAAAATAACAAATGAAACTTACCAATAGTGGGAATGGTGGTGACAATCTCTCCGAGCTTGAGCTTATACAGAATGGTGGTCTTACCAGCAGCGTCGAGACCCACCATAAGAATACGCATCTCCTTCTTGGCAAACAGCCGGCTGAATAACTTGGTGAAAGACAGCCCCATTTTCAAATATTCTGAATCCACAAATCACAGTCACCAAACGACTCCATCAAATTCAAATCTCAATCACAACAAATCAAATCGAAACAAAAAAATCATGGTATTACACATAATATGATCTGTGTTGCATGCATGAACAACCAAAATTGCGATGCCGATCTTACATTGAGATGAATGAAGAAAATAAAACAAGGTTGTAATTCAAAAATCGTGCGATCTAACTACAGGCGATGCAGATCGAGCAAGGACGTAAGCAGATCGTAAGATACGAGAAATCAGGAAACTAATCTAGAATGAAAGATGAAATCAGACACGAAGGAACAGAAAAATGCAAAGCGGACAATAAACAATGAATAAGAAGGAGACATTCGGTTGAGAAAATCGAAATGGCGAAGAGATCCATACAAAGAGAAGAAGGAGAGAGAAAGTTACCTTGAAGAAGAGAGAGAGAGAGAGAGAAGTAAACAAGATCTCTTCTCTTTGCAACAAAGAGAAAAGAAATAGAGGTGGTCTTACAGGAAGGGGTTCGCAGATTTATAGAACGCGGACTAAGATCCAAAATTCGTGTTTGCGCGTCATAACGTCGTTTATTCGCTTTACTTATAATTTCGGTTCATCACCATACGCTCGTTAACTTAATTTTTTTTTTTTAAAAAAAAAACGAGAATATTCACTTTTTTTTTTCTTCTTCTTCTAAATGAATTACATCCTCAAATTTTCCATTTATCTCGTAAAAAAAAAATCTTCCTCTCTTTTAAAGAAAAACGTGTTTCATTTTTTAATTTAACTAGCTTGTTAAGAAATTCGTTTCTTCCATTTTTTTACACAATATTAACGACTGGTTTCCACTACTTAATATTAATTTTAAATATTTAATCCAAATTGCAAGAGTTAATATTTATTCATTCTAACTCTTACATTATAAATTAACAAAACTTAAAATATTTTGATTCAAATGTGCAAGTGGGTTTCAAAAAGATATGACACGATTAATATTTGTCTCTTAAATATCTGGTCAGAAATTTGATATTTAACCTATGTGTATGATAAATTATTTTGTTAAATATCTGGTCAGAAATTATTTCTTAGTTTTCTATTAGAGATACCTCACTTAAAAAAAAGTGTTTAACCTGTAATTTTGGCGTGAAGGACTAGTAGATGTCAACCAACATAGCCCACTCTTTTATGGGTCGTATACAGCCCATACACGAGGTTTCAGTTCTTTCTAAGCGTATGTCCATTGACAAACAACACAACGCATATGGGCTTGGATGACAGTTTTGAAAACCGTGTACCCGATTCCTTTGTGGTTAAAGCAACACGAGATATGGAAATTTGAAAGCACAACTTATGTTTTTGTGTTATATACTGCAATAGTAGTCTCTAGTAGTTATATATATAGATTTTTATTTACATACATTTAACAACTTGCGGGGATAGCTCAGTTGGGAGAGCGTCAGACTGAAGATCTGAAGGTCGCGTGTTCGATCCACGCTCACCGCAACATGGATCACCTTTTTATTTTGACTCTCCCCATGGTAAAGAACATAAGTTGTTACAAACTGGAGGTTTTGGTGGCAAACTTAACACACAATCTAGAGTCTTAATGCTCATAATAAAGTTAGTACAATAGATAAAGGACTTCTGACTCTCTAAAGTGATGAGAACTGCATATAAGTATACCCTCTTTGCTAACTATAAAATATGTTGTACGTCAAGTTGGATAATTACTGAGACCGATGTGTCTCTGTTATTATTATTTTCTTTTTTTTGTGGAATATTTGTTTTTGTTAGCACCATTATGTTTTAAAGAGCCTTTATTTGATAATACTTAAGCCATTTTGGCCGATTGATTATGTAGACAATTGGCAACTTTGTGACATGAGCATAATTATAGGGATGTGATTGTCGTGTAAAGATATATAATTGCCTTCAAAATCTGTATCAAGTTTCTTCAACTATTTCTGTAATTAATTATTTCCCTTAATTTTTTTAATTATTACTCATAGGAATTAATCAATATTTAGGGCATCTCTAATGAGTTGCTTCATGCATTAAAAAATGAAATAAGTGGTCCCTAGTGTATCATGTCAGCATTAAGCAACTCAAACACAAATTTATTCTAATAATAAGAAATTTTAAGAAATTTAACTTTTAGAGTTTTTTTCTAATTATTTATGAACTAAATTTAAATTTTTATCAAAAATGATAATTGCACTACAATAAAAGAAAATAAATTATGAGAAAAAATATATAATAAATAAATATTAAAAATAAAATAAAACAATAGTAAATACATAAAAATTAATTTTCATCATTATTATTTCCGAAACGTTCTCAAATATGTTCAATAAAATCTGTTTGAAATCTTATAAGGAATAGTTGCTTGAGGAAGCAACTCTCTCTTCTTCAAGCAACTTTCTCTCTTCTTCAAGCAACTCATATTCTCCAATGACAAGAAATAAAGAATTAAGTCAC